AATTATTCAATATATAGGATTGGGGTGGCTGGCTAGCCAAGAAAAAAGTAAAACTGGATCTATAATTCATTCTTTACACTAAAATAATCTTGGAATGAAAACATTTAAATCTAAAACATGAAGCTATAAAACATTAAAGTATGAATAAACATTTATATAATCCTAGTGTAGAAAAGCCTTTTCTAAGCATGACAGGAGGAAATCTAGATTTAATTCCATTAAACCAAAACCAAAATCAACTAACCAAACAAAAATCTCAGGAAAGCAAAAACAACCTAAATAAGGTCAAACAGAAAAGAAGAGAGGGTTGATAGCTTTAATATACAAAGATCATCTATAAATGCATAAGAAAGAGCCCAACAGTCCAAAAGAAAAATGGGCAACAGCCACGGAAAACAGTCTCAAGAAATAAAAATAAATGGCTAATAGAGATAAGGCAAGAAATTTAGCCTCAAAAATAAAAACATTTCATTTGTCTGTCAGATTGCTAAAGCAAAACAAATGATCAATAATATGTAGTGATGGGGAATTTAGAAATAAAAGACATTCTCAGATACTCTTGATCAAAGTGTAAAATTAACAGTCTTCCTTGAGGTCAATTTGTCAGCAAATATTAAAACCAGAAGTGTACATTCTCTTTCATCAAAAATCTTGGCCAAGAAATTCACCTGGGCAAGTGTGCAAAGATGCACGCATACACATGTTCATTGCAGACTGTTTATAATAGTGAAAAAATGGAGACAACCTAAATATCCAATAATAGGTGATTGGTTAAATAAATTGTGCATCTGCACAATGTAGCCATTTGAAAAATGGTTTATATCTATGTTCATTAATGCATATGCGATCTAGCAACATTCCATGAGGGAAAGCAGCAGGATGCCTGATAATACAGCACATGGTGTTTACATATGTATGTAAGTTGTATGTTCACATCTGGATGAGAGTGCTTACCAACGTGTTAATGATAGTGCGTTGTGGGTGGTAAGATTCAAGTATTTTTGCTTTCTTGTTTATATTGTTTGAATTTTTAAAAATAACCATACTTTTTGTAAGCTGAAAACAATTTTTTGAAATAAGTAAAATAAAGCATGCATAAGAAAAATTTAAAAAAAAATTCAAAGCACAGACTCAAAAGAATGAACCTATCTTAGTTTTGTATTTAACGTCTCTACACTAGAAAGACCCAGCATAAATGTTAAGACAACTGGAGCCACATAGAGTTGAATGTAACCTTAAATTCTCATCTTCCTCCTCTCACAACAAAAAAGGGTTGTGTGAAGGTATTTCCAGAGGCCCTTCCAAACTTAACATTTTATGATTTTATAATGTGGCAAAATTATCAAAATCATGTTCAAAATAATGCTCAGAGACCAGTAACAGAACATAAAAGGTGTCTGAAAACCTCATTTTCTAGAGATACTTTTTCTCTTTAAAATTTACAGTGCTTTGATTTCTGCAGAGAGGCCACGTACAGCTATCTTGAATATAATGTCATCTAATAACATTTATTTAAAACTGAAATGTCTGTATTGCAAGGTAAAAAGTTATTTATAGAACAGTGTTTTTCTAAAAAATATTTAGTTGTTTCTATTTGTTAGGTTGATACTGTTGTCATTTTATAAACAGTGAAACAGTGAAAACCAATGGCTACAGGTTGACACTCCTGTTCTCGCTGAGTGACTTCAGTTCTTATGGAACATGATGCTTCTTGCTGACTTCGATTTCCCCAATGTTCATAAGAATTTTACCAATAAAATATAACCATTTAAATGGCTATTTTTATCACTAGTTTACCCTCGGTCTAAACTCAATGTGACTCAGAAAATTATCATATCGCTGACAACACTCAAGTTTACAGAGGAGGCACAGACATAACTTACATTTTTATGATTGACACATTTTAGGAGGACGAGTTCGCGATAGGCTCTCTTTGCATGAGTTTGATTCTGAAAAGGCCGACTTAGTTTCTTGACTGCAACATTTATCCCAAGAACGGTATCGAAAGCAGCACTGTGATTAGGAAATATAATAAAGAACCCATCAGAATGATTTTGGGAAATGTATAATGTACAGTCAGTGTATTATCTTTTTAATGAGTAACAAACATGGAAAAATCTTTCTGCTTGTCTCCACCTGAGGTGCAAGAACCAGGGGAGGTGGCCAAGAGTGCAGGATGGGCTGGCACTTTGCAGAGGCGCAGACATGGCGGCTGCAGTTAGGATGGGGTTCAGCAATCCTTTGCATGGTGATCTCTCATTATATTAGTTGAGATTATTATGTTCGGAACCAAATAATTTAATACAGAGAATGTTAAGACCAGTCAAGAAGTGACATCTTCAGTTTAAATATGCCAGTAAGTTGAAAAAAAAATCACTGGTTATCACAGAATAAAATATATTTTCGAGTGGAAGAAATGGTTGAAGTCATGGAAGAATATAATAAATCTAAGTTTTGATTGATTGTGTTTTTCCCAGACGAAAAAATCTAAAAAGAAAACAGAAGCCAAAATCTCAGCTCACTGTAAATCCCAAGATACAAAATTTCTAATGTAAGCAATTGCTATATATAAAATTCTACTAGAAATAGTGCCTCATACTATTAGAGTAAGAATAGCATCTTCTAGAGCCTTTGTTTCCAGATCTCAAGTTCCCAGTTGAAATTTATGGTTCATTTTCCTTCAGAAAATAGGAAAAACGAAGTAGCCTGATTATGCATTTTGTACTAATTTCAAACTCGTACTAACAATACCACTTGTGTTATATCTTTTGGCTGGGTGTCATGGGTTAAAAGTTGCTAAAGTCCACCTGAAAACCGAAGTACCATTTAAAATGTTTTCTATTTCTTTATCCTATTCAGTTTATAACATGGTTTATACTTATTCACTTTCATGAATGATGTTATTTTTTTTTTTTTGCCAAACAACCCTAATTTACTTCAACGTGCTCTTAAATTGAAGGCTGTCTGCTGTATCATTGAGTTAAGAATGGTAAGAAACTTCACGTCACTTTGAAATTATTTTTTCTCTAATTCAGTTCACATATGTGTACATGTTTGTATATATGTAAATTCACATACCCATATGCAAATGCACCATTCATAAAATGATAAAATGTTAAAGAGAAATCTATTTGTGAGATAAATCATTAATTAATGTACATGTGTATTTGTATTTATATATATATATTTCTCAGCTTCAGGAATTTGAGACACACCTGTTTTGGTCTCAACAGTTTGTGTCCAAAATAAGCCAAATGGACCAATTCTGAGCATCTGAGCAGACACACACTTCCCCTTCTAGTTCCCACTCCAGGGGTACTACCTTCAATCATGCCTAGTTTCACTTCTTGGAGTCATTTCTCAACTCCAAAGAATATACTTTTATCACTATTTCCTCATTTATCAAGTTTAGAAATTACCTACTTACTTCTCATTATAAAAACTGAGGATTTAGTCACTCACTTGAAACCCCAACTCCCAGTTTTTGGTTCTCATGTTATTTTTAACTTTTCCCTTGGTTACCTATGTAACTTTCAATAATATGCTTAAACTTCTGTTCCGTCAACTTTCAAAGAACCCTCTCAATTCCCCAGCAAAATGAGACCATTAACTTCCATGTCCTTTTTCTTCCAGCTTTCTACTCTCTCCTCCAAACTTATCTTAAATGTTCAAGCTTGATAACATACCTATTTGATATCTACAATCAAGACTTCCATGTTTCCTATTTAGGATGTGACTAAAAGTTGAAAAAGTATTTACATGCACACAGCGTATATATGTGTGCATGTAAATACTGTTGATTGCAGAGCTGGGATTATATTTCATTTTCTGAAGATCACGTGACTCTTGCTACTACTCCGAAGAGAGTGAGGCTGTTTCCAGTATCGAGGTCAAATGGATTCTTTCCTTACGTTTCATCAATTGCCCAAACAGCATGTCCTTCTAAATTTGTTTTATACTTAGATCACGACTTTTCCTAGCTTTTCCACCAAAAGTTTCTAATATACATTTTGCCCTTAGTAAGAGAAGGAAAATATATGTCTTTTAAGCCTATTGTCAGTACTTCCTACCTCACATCTATTATTTGGAATCTATTCCATTCTTTTTGAAGACAAGTTTCTCGGAGCTTCTTTCCAGGCCTGCTGCACAGCCAACAGCCTGAGACTTCTTCTCATTAGCCTCCACTGTTAATTGTGTCACACATTCTCTTTCTTGTTGTATATCCTCAAGGAATTTCCTCAGAAAAAGTGCAAAGGGGATAAGGTGAGCTTTCTCTGTCTTCATTCTTAACTGATCATTTGTTTTCCAAGTCCAAAATTAACTTTCTCTTGCAACTCCAACAAGACTTATGCTTGACAGTCATGCCTTTCCTCCCTTTCCCTCGGCTCAATGATTTAGCATGAAGAGCATGTTTTATCAGCATCTCCAAAGGGCCCCACACCTACTAATAACTGTCCCTCTGTCTCTCTGCCTCTGACTTTGATGATAATCACTTCTGTGCTTCTACCAGCTTAACATGCATCTTTAAGCCCCACCCACCTACGGTTTATTTTTGCCTGGTTTTTGAAATTATCTGTCGGACTTCTTTCACTCAACATAATTTTTGTGAGATTCATCAGTTGTTGCTTTGCGTAGCTAGGGTTCTGTGTATTAGCTAGAATATTCCTTTGCATGACTATATGATGTAACCTTGATCGATACTTTGGTTGTTCTCAGTTGGCAGCAATTATGAAAAAACAGTTATAAACAGTTTTGTACATGGCTCTAGGTCCCCTATGCAGGCACGTCTAATGAGTACATAGCTAACAGTGGAACTACATATATTTTATTTTAGTAGATTACACCAAACGATTTTCCAAAGTGATTCATTTCATTCTACTAATTTCTAGACTTTTTTTTTTTTTTTTTTGTATATTGACCCTATATATTGAGGCTAAACATACTCATTAATTTAACAAAAGGTAGATGAGGGGCTAATTTAATCACAATAGCCCTTTAGAAGCAGAGCTTGATCTGGCACCTGGGAAGAAGGAAAGTCAGAGATTTGAATTCTGAGAAGGACCAGATGAGACATTACTGCCTTTAAGAAGCATGGTCACGTGAGGAGGAATGCAGGATCCTCTAGAAGCAGAGCGGCCCCTGGTTGACAGAGAGCAAGGTAATGGGGATTTCAGACCTACAGATGCAAGGAACAGGTTCTGCCATCAACCTGAAAGCACTTGGGAGCAGATTCTTCCCCAGAACCTCCAGATAAGAACCCAATATAGCTGATATCTTGTTTATAGCCTTTCTGATGCTAAGCAGAGAACCTGGGCAAGCCTACCCAGTTTTCTGACCTAGAAGACTATGAGATTATAAATGGGTATAGCTAATTCAAAGTTTAGATCCAATAATGCCAACAACCCTTGTGAACCCACTGAGTTTGTGGTAATTTGTAATGCAGTAATAGAAAAACTCATACATCCCTCTCTGTATTTTTCTACCCTTTTGTCTCACCAGACTTCATTCTGAATATTTTTTCTAATGTCTTTCAGATCACTAATTCTCTCTTCAGTTATATCTAATATGCTGTTAAATCCATCCATTAACTTCATAGTTGGATGACTATATTTTACAGTTCTAGAATTTCTGTTATTTTTTTAAGTTTTCATCTTTCCATCAAAAAATTTTCATGCCTTTATCATCCCGAACATAACATCATGCCTTTATCATCCCGAACATAACATCATAGCTAATTCAAAGTTTAGATCCAATAATGCCAACAACCCTTGTGAATCATTTCCTTTCTCTTGTTGTTTGTGCTGGATTTTGTGTGTTGTCTAATCTCCTTGTGTGATTATTTTTGATTGTGTGCTGGAGCCCACACTTACAAAACTGTTTGCCATCTAGAAATAGTTTGATATCTAGTATCAAACTATTTCTAGATAGTTTGATAGAATGCTACCTTCCTTCAGAGAGAATTTACTTTTACTTCTGCTGGGTGCCTGGGGGCACTAGCAATTTGGGTTCACCTCAAGTTCAAGTTTGGCAAAATGAAATGATTTGAAGCTGAGTGGCAGTGCCTCTTTCTCTCCAGTTCATTCTTGCTTCTAGAATGCAGCCCTTTACTGGTCTCAACTCAAAGCAAAGAAAGTTCACTAGGCCCCTTTGGAGGGCCCGGGACTCAAACTCTGTCTCCTAGCCCCACAAGGCAGTCCAAAGAGCAATGCTCAGTCTCTCAGCTGTGCATTCCAGAATTTTCAAATGCCCTCAAGGGAAAGGCAGCCCCAAACCCTGGGCTCCCCTCATTAGACTTTTGTCCTTCCATGAATCCTGGCCTAATAATTCTTCACTCACCTACTCACTCTCTAGGGGCAAATGCTGAACATGGGGGTGGGGTGGGAATGTTGGGAGCCAATTGGCACAATTGTGCCATAGACACACTTTTAATTAACACTCATATTTCTAGCCACCCATCTCATCTTCATTCTCTGTATCAGTCATCTCTATATGCACAGCCCCTTTAGGGTTCTACTACAGATAGTTTCTCTTCCTTGTTGCAAATGTCTCATCCACTTATTCTCACTTCCTCTACTCTGTTTTATCTGCATCAAGTTTCCAATTACTTTTTTATATTTCAGAAACTTGTTAAAATCTCGCATCCACTGATTACTCTCCTCCTCCTGTTCTCTTTATCATCTTAAATCGGAAGTTCCAAACCACTCATTTTAGAGTTGAAATTACTAAGGCTCATAACAACACATGATTTGCCTAAGGTTGCAAAGAACTTCTGCTATGAGGATCTGAGCTAGATTTAGAACTCAAGTCTCCTGAATTACAGCCCTCCTATGCCTTATACCATACACTTTCTTTATCACAGAAACTTTACGTAGACATTTTTTTATTTAGTTATATTAATACGGAGAAAATAAAACAGTGTAAGAACAG